TTTCTCCCTCCCTCCCTCCTTCTTTTTCTTTCTATCTCAATTTTTTTTTTTAGAGATGAAGTCTCTGTTGCCCAAGAGTTTGAGCTGGTCTCAAACTCTTGGGCTCAAGCAATCCTCTGGCCTCAGACTTCCAAAGTCCTGGGATTACAGGCATGAGCTGCTGTGACCAGTCAATAGTTGATACTTCTTGAGTATATATAGACAGTACTAGATGCTGTATGTGTACTAACTCATTGAGGACTATATTCTTGAGTACTGTATAGATAGTACCATGTGCCACACATGTAATAATTCATTATCTCTTTGCAACTGTCTTATCAGGCAGGGATCATTGAGGCACAGAGAGGTTATGTAACTGGCCCAAGGTTACACAGCTATTCTGTGGCAGAGCTGGGCTTTGAACCCAGGCCAGCTGGATGAAGAGACCATCTATCAGGCATTGCAGTATACCGCCTCTCTGTTATACCAACCTTTTATCCAATCAAAGGCTTTTTCAACACATATTTATTCAACATGACTTCCCTCTGTTCTTGTGGTTACAGTGGTGGACACTTTAACCCTGCAGTGTCCCTGGCAGCCATGCTGACCGGAGGCCTCAACCTGGTGATGCTCCTTCCCTACTGGGTCTCGCAGATGCTTGGGGGGCTGATCGGGGCTGCCTTGGTCAAGGTGGGTGGCCCTGGAGAGGGCTGGGTTGGTGGCTTTGGCGCAGATGGGGCTGCTGGAAGTGTGTGGGGCGGGGTGGTGGGAAGTGGGGAAACATCCAACCCTTTGCTTTTTTCTGCGGGTGGCGTTGGGTGGATCCTTTCCCTCCAATGTGGGGCACGTTTCGCGGACCTTTGGTTCCCTCCAAGCTATCCTGTTCTGTTCACGTCTGGACACAGCCCTTCCGTGGACAGAGCCGGAAGCACATTCTGGGCTTGATGTTTCTCTTCTGAGCCCATTTCTGGCTTTGGAATGGATCAGGATAGTTCCGATGTTTTCAGTTTTTGCATTCATTCACTTGTCTGTTCATTCTGCAGGCACCTCAGAAAGCAACACTGAGGATTCGGGATGAATAGGATATCGCCCTTGAGAAACTCTGAAATTAACTTCTCTGTGTACTCTCCAGTCTGCTTGCTTTTTTTTTTTGAGTTGGAGTCTCACTCGGTCGCCCAGACTGGAGTGCAGTGGCCGCTCCCGGCCATCGCAGCCTCACCTGCTGGGCTCCGGCGATCCTACCACCTCAGGCTTCCAAGTAGCTGGAACTACAGGTGCGCGTGACCACGCCCGGCTAATTTTTGATTTTATTGTAGAGATGAGGTCTCGCTGCCCAGGCAGGTCTCGAACCTGCGGGCTCAGGCAATCCACTCACCTCAGCCTCCCAAAGGCGCGGGATTACAGGCTGAACCACCAAGCCCGGCTGGTCTGCTTGCTTTTAATGGGAGTTACCTTGGATAGGAGTTGATAATCAATTTATGTTTGGATTCTTCCATTCCAGAAGGAAGGCTGGCTCTTCCTCTCAGCCACAGACATTTTTTATACACTCAAGTCCATGGATGGATTTCCTCTCTTCCTCTTTTTCTCCTTCCTTCCTTCCTTCCGTTCTTCCTTCCTTCTTTCCTTCTTCCCTTCTGTTAGAAAAGGCCAAATGGCATAGTGGGAAATGGAAAAACGTTGGGAGCCAGCCTTGGAGGCCCGCCTGATTGACACCCTCCCTCCCTTCCGCCCTCCCTCTTTCCCTTCTCTCCCCCTCACTTTTCCCCTCCCTCCCTTTTGCCTTCCCTCCTTCTCTCTTTCCTTTTGTCCTTAGGTCCCAGTTCAAGCAGGGACCCTCCAAGACGTGGGCTTGGCTTGGCGTGTGTGGTGGGTGGATGGGAGAGTCCTGTCAGCTTTGCTGTGCTTGGGTCCGAAGCTATAAGCGCTGACCCATTGCAGACTTTGGTCTCAAGTCATTTTGCTGTCTTCTTCTGCCCTGGCCTCGCCATGCCCCCATGAGACCTGCAGACTGTTTCTCCGTCTGTAGAACGCGGCCCGGACCTTCCTGCTCCGACTTGCTATGAAAAGCAGTGCCCAGACTCTCCCTCAAGTCCTCCACTGGCAGCTGGTCAGACATGATTCTGACAAGTGCGGACCAGCAGCTGCTGGTCACCAGGCACGCCTTCCTGCCAAGCACGTGACACATATTCTCTTATGCAGTCTCCCAACAACATCACAAGAAACCACAGTCGATCCTTAGAGAGCGCTCACCATGTGCCAGGCGCACCAAGGGACTTACCTGTGAGCTCAGAGCTGCCATTAGCATCCCCATTTTATACATGAGAAAACAGAGGCCCAGAGAAGTGGGTAACCTGCCCTAGTTCAGACAGGCTGGTCAGTAGCAGAGCCCAGGTTTGGGTCCAGAACAAAGAAACTTGGGGCTCCACTGTCTTCCCTTTCCAGGAGCTGCTAACCCCGAGCTAACTGAGCTTAAGCTTCAGGGCTCTGTACGAGCCCCTTCCAAGGTCCCATAGGGACCTGATCATAGGAGTGAAGTTTATGTTACCTAAGTTACATAAGCTTCAGACCCGCAACCCCTGGAACCACCTGGGTTATCTCCATTTTACAGATGAGTAAGGGGAGGCTCGGAGAGGTCCGATAGATCACACAGTCACACGTAAAACCTGGCGGAGCTGGGACGTGGACCCAAATGTGTCCAACTGAATGTTGGCTGTAACCCTTCCCTGGCTCTTCAAGTGGGCAGGCCTGCATTTTTAGGTCCCTCCTTTCAGCTCCCGGCTCTGTCTCTCTGCTGCTTCCCACTCCCTGCCCTGTGAGGCTGAGCGGCTTCTCTGTGCAGGTGGTGAGTCCTGAGGAGAGGTTCTGGAACGCGACTGGGGCGGCCTTTGTAACAGTCCAGGAGCAAGGGCAGGTGGCAGGGGCGTTGGGAACAGAGATCATCCTGACGACATTGCTGGCCCTGGCCGTCTGCATGGGCGCCATCAATGAGAAGACACAGGGCCCTCTGGCCCCATTCTCCATCGGCTTCTCTGTCACCGTGGATATCCTTGCAGGGTGAGTGTCCCTTGGCAGGGGAGCAGCCAGGCCCAAATCTGGGCCATTATGCTCTGGAGGAGGTCAGGCTTGAGGGTCATAGACTTTGTTGCCAATTAGGGGCCAGGAAGGTGCTGCAAGTGGGGAAGTGGGCTGGCACTGGGCAGACAACGGGGAATGGTGGGGACTGTGGTATCTAAGGAGCTCTAGTCAATTCAGCGCCAGTCAATTATTGCTGTGTGAGAATGTGGATGTGAGGCCACCTTTCTTCTGATTTCATTCAAGGAGAGTCAGAGCTTTGGATTTATGTTAAGTTTTTCAGTTTTGGTAGTGTACATAAAACATTCTTTCATGCTGTTCTGCTGGCGGACAACCAGGTTTTAGCATCAGGCTTACAAACAGCATCCATACCAAAATAAATGTCTCATTTATTTTGATTCTCTCAGCTTGAGAAAGAATTAAGGAGACAAGATTGGGTGAGGGATTATTTCTCCCATTTTATTTTTATTTTTGAAGTCGGGGTCTCACTCTGTCAGCCAGGCTGGAGTACAGTGGCACGATCATGGCTACCAGGGCTTCAATCTCCTGGGATCAGACGATCCTTCTGCCTCAGCCTCCTGAGTAGCTGGGATTACAGGCACGTGCCACCATGCCCGGGTCATTAAAGACAATTTTGTTTTTGGTACAGATGAGGTCTTGCTATGCTGCCCAGGCTGGTCTCAAACGCCTAGGCTCAAGGAGTCCTCCTGCCTCGGCTTCCCTAAGTGTTGGAATTGCAGGCATGAGCCACCATGCCCGGCTGTCTCCCACTTTGTAGATGAGCACAGACAGGGTAGAAGTGACTTATTTAAGGTCAGTGGGTAGTGGCAAATTAAATGAAAGATCTGGAACACTGGAATGAGGGATCCCCTTCCTAACGTCCAACTCTTTTCTGTGTTTTGGACACAGAACCGAGTCTATTACTGCCTTTGTCCTTGGCCGGCTCTCCCTCCTCTTTGGGAGGTGGAGTCAGGGGTTGGCTGGGGAATGTGTGTAAAGCTGAGGCAACGCTTTGCTGTCCCCTAGTGACTGGGGTTCGCTTACAAGCCTCTTGACCGGTCCCTGGTCACAAGGTAGAATGAGTTCAGCAGGACCCCAGCTTGAGGGAATGGGGGTTAGGGCACAGAACTAGAGAGCTGCACCCAGGGAGCAGTCCTCCTGTAGAACATGCTGGGCCTCGAGCTTGTGGCTCAACAAGGACCTCACCTGGGCCAGCTAGATGATAGCGAGGTGTGGGCGTCATAGGCGTTTTCTTGTTCACTCCTGATAACAACCTCTGGAACAGGCACTTTCACCTCAGAAACACAGAGGGGTTCAAGAAGGCCCCACAGCTCAACCTAGCTGCACTGGGCTTGAATTTAGAGCAGCCTGACTCCAAAGGGGTTGACAGCTTTTGGACTTTGCTGCATGGATTTTGGAGAGGACCGAGATGCAGCTTCTCCTCCTGTCTTCAGCGAGCAGACCTTCTTTGCTGGTCATTCTTCTGGAAGGGCGTGAGGGGAATGCCCGACTGTACATCCAGGGAAGAGCCACACCTTGTGCTTCCTAGTGCTAATAGCCTCTTTTTTTTTTTTTTTTTGAGTTGGGGGTCTCACCATGTCACCCAGGCTGGAGTACAGTGGCATGATCACGGCTTACTAGAGTCCTGGACTCAAGCAATCCTTCTGCATAAGTCTCCCGAGTAGCTGGGACTACAGGCACGTGCTACCACAACTGGCTAATTTTTCTATGTTTCGTAGAGACTAAGTCTCACTTTACTACCCAGGTTGGTCTTGAACTCCTGGACTCTAGCAATTCTTCAACCTTGGCCTCCCAAAGTGCTGGTATTACAGGTGTGAGAAACTGTATCATGTATTTTTTTTTTTTTTGAGTTGGAGTCTCACTCTGTCGCCCAGACTGGAGTGCAGT